GTTACCCCTGTACAAATGGAAAAAAATTAAGTTCAACATTTCTAGAACAATATGGCTGTTAATTTTTGAACAATGCCAACTGAACGTGGTAAACTGGGATACTTTTTTCTTTTATGACTTAAAAGACTACAAGAACATTGTAAAGAATTAGTGCAATTTCTTGAAAATGAAAACAGCAACAGAAATAATGCATATATACTATCTACACTGATGAATGAAAAGTACAAATTAACAATGAGGGTTTTTGTTTTTTGGTTTTTCGAGACAGGATTTCTCGGTATAGCTTTGGAATCTGTCCTGGAACTAGTTCAGTACACCAGGCTGGTCTCAAACTCACAGAATTCTGCCTGCCTCTTCCTCCTGAATGTTGGGATTAAGTCCTGCCTTCATGAGAAATTTTTAAGCAGCCTTATTCTAAATAAATATCCATTCAAATAAAATAATGACATTAGTGAAAAATTAATGATATATGTTCAATGGACAAGTTTCAATCAGACTATAATAATCAAAATAAGAAATGGAAATTTTAAATATTTAATAAACTAAATAATTTAACATTGAGAAGAAAGCAACAAATAAATTCGAGGTTAGAAAAAACTGACTCAGAAAACAAGGGGTCTCATCTAAAAAACTTATGATTATCAAACATTTGGATAAATGTTAGACCAAATAAAAACTACAAAGTGGTGGGAATATTAGAGCTACTAGAAGTTTTCTATATTACCTTGAGACAGATGTGCCATGAAACAGTTTTGAGTACAATAGTAGAGACTGAGAGAACAGATGAATCCTGTGGATGCTGGATTTTAGATTTGTAATAAACCAGACAGCCAACATGGAGCACTGCAAGTGTGGCAGGAAAGGAAAATGTTCCTCTCAGTGGGACTATGAGCAGAAGAGAGAAAACATTGGTGACTTCCATAACTGCAGAATTCAGTACTATCCACATACAAAGAAAGCAAACAGGAAAACTAGGTTTCATTCAGTGGGCAGGTACAGAAGGTATCATGACAGTCAGGAGTCCTACTGCCTTAGCTCATAAGATAAAAAGCCATGTCCCTACACTTTGAGATCTCCTATTCCCAATGGTCCCACATTTTCAGCAGGTAAGGGTGCAAGCACCTCACAGCCAATGTAGGCCCTGAAAACAGACTGTAAATTGAACACACATTTAAGGATACGGGTCTGTTTAATTGAAAAAGTATTACTAGATATATGAGAATTTTAGCATGTGAGGCAGAAATACATAAAGAAATATTTACACTGGCAATAAAGATCACTTTAATTAAAATTAAGAACTATCAGTATAACCATATACCACTTATTTAATAAATAATAAAATGTTGCTGACTATCTTGGCTGATATTTGGTCAAACCTTCTCAGTTTCATGGAAAAGATGAGTTAAGAGCAGTTTCAAGTACTTCGGCAAAACCTTCATGAGTCCCAGATCTCAAGAATGGCATACATGTTAAGGTTGGGAAATGACTTTTGCAATTTAAAACAGAGTACATCAAGGCAATTTATATCTCTTATCCAATGTTTGTATCAAGCTGTTATTTCTCAAAGATATTGCCTGAAGCAGAAAAAAATTGAATGATGAGATGGGAAGAAAAAGGTTTTGGCTGTTGGTGCTGAACAAGCAACATGAGCGAGAGTCACACAGTGCTATGTATGGACTTGGCCAGAAAGTGGCATTAATCAAGAGCTCTTCACAAACCTGCAAATATTAAAAAATCATCAGTATATCTTTATTGTCTGTTCATTTGCTTTGGAGAATTTAAGACTAGTATTTTGTTTTGTTTTGTTTTGTTTTTGAAAAGTCACAAATAATCATCTTAAAGTATCTGTGTTTTGAATGTTTCCTCCAGAGGCCTACTGTTTAATAATACTATACAATATAAATACACATTTAAAAAAAACTAAAGGCATGGGCTAGAGTTGTAGCTCATAATAGAATACTTGTTTTCAAGTCTGTTCAAGAACCTGGGTTCAATTCTTAGTGCTGCCCAAAACAAATATAAATAAATGAAAGAATAAACAATATGAAGTCAAAATGATGTGAAGTAAAATTTGATACAATCTGCTTTTAGTAACACCGAAATTGATGTTTTATACCTTTAGAAATATTCTGTGATTGATTGACTTCAGTTTTTTTTGTTAAATGAAGAGTTTTGGCTTCATGGTTGCTAAAAATATTGTACCTCTACGAAACGGTTGTTGTTTTATGTTCATAATAGTTGGTCAAATTCCATGCCGATACAACAATCTCTCCTGAGTAATTTGTATGTTATGCCCAGTCCTATCTAGACCCCAAATTCATTCAGCTTAGTACTGATACCAATGCCATAGCATACTTTTAAGGACAGTTTAAAAATCTTAAAAAACTATTCACCCCCACTCCATGGACATTAGAAAAAGGTTCCCCAGTTATCTGCATTTGTTCTTAGCTGTCTTTACTGTTCTGTATGCAAGATGGGTAATTTAATATTTTAATATACTTTTGTAGGTGGTTGTGCTTGATGATTCTTAATTTTAAATATGATTAAATGTAGCCCTGTGCTCATAGTCAAATTTTTCGTGACTATGATTGAGCTTTGAAGCTTATTTGTTGAGCAGTCATTCCAAGAGAGGAGTGGATCAGACATTATGATTAGCAGCAAAGTTTTTGAATTCTGCCAGTGCTGCTTCCAGATATATCCTGACAATGTATGGATGGAAAGAGGTGTTTTGAAATACTCCAGCACAAGGAAATGTTTCTCTAGATAAAAACACCAATTAAACTGTTTTGATATGCAATAATTAATGGGAAAAATTCACAGGAAATTTAGATTTTGTGCAAATCTGCTCTCCTACAATCTCATGAAGCCCTGTGATTCAGACTCACCTGATACAGCTCAATGTGCAGGGTTTAATTATTTTCTTAGGAGCTCTTCTACTGTTCAGGGTGTTGTGGAAGACTTCAGTGAGTTTCATCTTATCTGAAGGGCTTGTCTTTATGATGAAGTGGGAATGATATTCAGTTGGTTATACTTCACTCCCTGGGGAAATCAGAGACTGAGAGCAAAACACAATTGTTGTAGGACCATGATTGCAGTGCTTTAAGAACATTATTTACCTAGGATATTAGTGCTGCGCAGTCTGCCTCTATCCATCACACAACACAATAATCTTCTCATGCTCTGGCTTTCCCTATGCAGAAGTTAATGTGGGGTACATTTTAAACATCATTCTCCACCTTTGATTTTTGAGATAGGCTCTTTCACTGAACCTGAAGCTCATTAATTTGCCTAGGCTCACTGGCTAATGAGTTTCAGGGATTAGCCTGTTCCTGGATCCTTAGTTGGGAGTTACAAGAACATGACACCATCTCTGGCTTTTTACGTGGATTCTGGGTATCCAGGATAAGGTCCTTATACTTACACAGCAGACACTTTACAAAGTAAGCCATATCCCTAGGTCTTATGCATGATGTATTTCACTATGCAAATAAAAATGAGTATATCAAATAAATTTCCATGGTAAGACATGATTTATAGCTTATTTATACAGAAAATAGTTTAAAGCTATTTAATAGAAGAAGAGTTCTAAAATATACATTTTGTCACATATTCCTCTTGCCATAAACAAGAGAATAAAAAGGAAATTAAAAATGTTATAAGAAAAAAAAAGTAATTTGAGCATTGACACCTTCACTCTGCATGTATTCTGCTCAGTATCAAGATTATTTGAAAATAATTTTCTTGGATATGGGCATATATTTGTCAAACCTCTCATAAACAAAGGTTCTGTTATGGTGTTTGTGTGGGCTAATTTATCAGCCATATTGACTCCTTATAATAAAACTATGAAATTAAAATACAGCAGCCCTCTTCCAAGGTTTTGCCCTGATCCACATGCTATCTTCTGTCACAGTGTGATTTCTCAATAGCTTTCATTCTCTGTGTTCCTCACAGCTACTTCAGACCCTCAGACTGCTTTCTGCATACGTTTCCTCTATGGATTTTGTGTGCAGTTTCTCAGTTCACTATTTTTCCTTTAACTTTTAATTCATAATTTCTGTCTCCTGGAATTTCACTATGGAAATGCATTCTTTCTTGCAATAAAAGTAGCTATATTCATATTTGGGCTATGTCCAGACAAATTGTATCAGTTTCTAAAAAAGTTTCCAGTTCTGTGAAGAACAAATAATTCTTTCACAATCCCCAAAGACAGAGTGATAGATTCATGCTTCATTCTGTGTTTCAAGAATAGTAGCTATGGCCAGGTGGTGGTGGTACATAGTCCCAGCACTTGGGAGGCAGAGACAGGCAGATACCTGTGAGTTCTAGACCAGCTTGATCTACAAGAGCCAGTTCCAGGACAGCCTCCAAAGCCAGAGAGGAACCCTATCTCAAAAAACAAAAAACAAAAAAAACAAAAAAAATTAGTAGCTACAAGTTGTTTGTTTCTATATCCAGTGAGAAATTTGGAACAGCAATATTTTATATCAGAGTTCCTCTTTTTATAAACATAACTTCAAAAATCCATTGATCGAATACATTCTACATACGGGGGTGGTCAGTAAGTGCCATGGTGTGTGTAGAGGTCAGAGGACAACTAGCAGGAGTTGGTTCTGTCCTTCCACAATGTGGATCCCTGTAATAGGATTCACGTCATGCAGCTTGGCAGCGACTGCCTTTACCTGCTGAGTCATTTGCCAACCCCTCACTACAGTCTAATTTCTATCATGAAATTAGACACTACAGTCTAATTTGTATCGTGAAATTAGACTGAACAAGTTATTACTTTGATATTTTCAACTTATCAAGTCTTCAGCTCATTATTATTGACATTCTATTTGTTAATAATGGTCTTTAGGGCTGCCAGATATTTTGTAACTATTTTCCAATTTATAGCTCTCTTTTTGGTTTGTTCATACTGCTTTTCAAATATTTAAAAATATTTGTCAAACTGTAGCATAAATAATAAAAGCACAGAGATAGATATTGGGGATCAAGCTGAAGATCAGATAAGCAAAGCAGTCAGCTACTAGCTCTTACCAAGTTGAAATGGATGATCCTGTCACCAGGAATCTTCAGAGTACAATGCAGTCTACTCTGCTCTCTGCCAAGCCTCAGACTGCAATATCCTCAGTTCCTGTCTCTTTCTGCCATATATTCCTTTCTCTGCCCAGCCATATCACTTCTGTCTCCACCTCCTTAGTACTGGGATTAAAAACATGTGACCCCCAAGACCTGAGATCACCTTTGTGTGAGAAGTTTCTCTTTAAATCAGAAAAATTTCATATACCTCAGTGTGGCCTTGAACTAGCAGACATCCATCTGTCTCCTGAGTCCTGGCATTAAAAGTATGCACCATCATTATCTGGCTCTATGGCTGTGGCTAGCTTTGAATTTTGATCTTCAGTTGCTTTTATATATCATAAACAATATATCACCACATCAAATACATTTTATTATGTGGAAACATCAGCTTTTTCTGTGATTAAAAATCAGTTGAAACAGGGCTGAAGAGATGGCTCAGAGCTTCAGAGCACTGGCTGCTCTTCCAAAGAACCCAGGTTCACTTCCCAGCATCCACATAGCAGCTCACAACTGTCTATAACTCTATTCCAGGGGATCTGACACCTTAACACAGACATACACGTGGGAAAACACCAATGTACAAAACAAAAATAAATAAAATTCTAAAAATAAAATCTGCTGAAAATTATGTGCATAACCTTTGCTGAAACATCACAGAGTGAGATCAGCTCTTAGAAGAATGTCTTCTCTGGAACACACACACATATATATCACAGTTTTAAAAAGTCTTAATAATAAAAACCCGAGTCGGAAATATCAGAGAAACAATACAGCCATCCACTAGCTATTACCTCTACCTCAGACTGAAAAGGTTATGCTGTCTCCACATATCATCAGACAATTCAAACTGTCTACATGAAACCTCAGTCGGACATCTCAGATTGAATCCTCAAAGTGCATCATTCAGACTGACCGCCTCTGACTGACTGCCTCAGACTGTGCTGCCTCCTGTCTACTCCTGTATTACATTCCTCTCTCTGCCCAGCTTTATCACTCCTGTTCCTCCTCTCCAGTGTTGCGATTAAAGGTGTGTGATCCCAAGTGCTGGGATCACCATTGTGTGAGCTCTGTTTCTCCTTTAGACTGGATCAATCTCATAGAGACAAGAGTAGCCTTGAACTCTGCCTCTGCCTCTGCCTCCCAAGTGCTAGGATGCCACCACATCTTCTCCAGCATAAGCTTTCATTGGTAGTTTTATTTTACCCTTTCTGACAGGTATAAGATGATTATCTCAGAGTTGTTTTGATTTGCATTTCTCTGAAGGCCAAGGATGTTGAGCAATTCCTTAAGTGCCTTTTAACCATTTAAGATTTCTCTGTTGAGAATTCTCTATTTAGAGCTGTACCCAATTTTTCAATTAGATTATTTGGTATTTTGTTGTCTAGTTTCTTGAGTTTTATTGTATAATTTGGCAATCAGCCCTCTGTCAGATGTGGTGTTGGTGATGATCTTTTCCCATTCTGTAGTCTTCTGTTCTGTCTTGTTGACTGTGTCCTTTGCCTTACAGAAGCTTCTCAGTTTCAGGAGGTCCCATTTATTATTGTTGATCACAGTGTCTGTGCTTTTGGTGTTATGTTCAGGAAGTGGTCTCCTCTACCTGAACTTCGCACTTTTTCTTCTATGGGGCTATGGGTCACTGAATTTATGTTGAGGTATTTGATTCATTTGGACTTGAGTTTTGTGCATGGCAATAGATATTCTTTGTATTATGTTTTCTTCATTTCTACTTTATTGATTTCAGCCCACAATTTGATTATTTGCTGGTGTCTACTCCTCCCAGACGTGTTTGCTTCTTTTTGTTCCAGGACTTTCAGATGTGTTGTTAGGTCACTAGTGTGAACATTCCCCAGTTTCATTGTGTAGGCACTGTAGTTGCTTTTTAAAAGTATATTCAATGATCTTCCTTTTATCTCAACATATCTATACTATATAGAATTAGATTAAATGACCTATCTTTTTATCTTATATATGTGTCTTCCTTTTATCTCAACATATCTATACTATATAGAATTAGATTAAATGATCTATCTTTCTTCCCATATATCTCTTGAAGTATAGACTCAATGATCTACCTCTTTATCCTATCATATCTGTATCCCCTTCCTTTTTTTCAAAAAAGAAATCCTTGAATTTAATGCCCTTTGTTCAACTTTCTTCCTGACTGTAGCCAATAACATTTGGTAACCAATCTTCTTAAACAATGACAAATATCCATAACCTATTAAATGACCAAAAAGCACCCACCCCATGTCCAGTCTCTGCATGATGTGAAAGTGCAGACCTTGTCTCAACTCCTGGTTAGAGTAGTCTGCAAGGCTGAACCATCTCAGATAGCTTCCTCAAAATCTTCTGAGAAACTTGTAGTCCAAAATCAATCTTTAGTGGGTATTGTACAGCTTAATGGTGTTATCATAGTCCTGGTGTAATGGTTTTGGGGCCCCATTCTCCTTTTGGAGACTTCAAAGGTCACTGTTAGGTGTAGTCATGTCTCATTGTAGAAAACTGGTAGAGACTAAAACTAGAAATTATATACAGGAAGGTAGATGAAACTTTTTTCTAGAGTTACTACTATAGATGAGCATTAATATCTTGAGAAAACTATAAAATACATAAATATTAATCTTATAGTATTTTATATAAGAGTTATGTTTATGCTTTAACAAAAGAAGTTAGAAGTAAATATAAAACCAAAGGATCAAGAGATTAGTGAAAATACAATAGTGCATAAATATTTGTTTTTATTCTGTTCCATATTAGGTGACTTTTGAGACATGAGGCAGATTTTTTTTAAAAAAAAATTCCTCTAACAGGAATGCTTAGGTTTAGAAAAGGAAAGGGTCACACTCCAACTCAAAAGCCACCTTTAGTCTCTATTTGGACTGGGACTACCAAAGAACCATTTGCATTATATCTGTAGAGAAAAGCAGAAACAAGTATTTGGGAAGATTTATGAAATTTTATCCTGTTAGAAATATGATACACCAATAGACTAATTTACTCCTTTCCTTTGGACTTTTCTGGACTATTTGTTCCTTTTCTTCAGATGTCTCAATTGCCCAGTGGTCTCCTTTCCTTAGCTGGATACTTTTATTCTCCAGAAAAGACAAAAATAAAACCCTTCCCTAGCCCTAAATTTTGGGGAGGTTCTCCTTTGGCAAGTTATATCTGATCAAATGAAAAACATTTGTTATTTTTGTAGGTTAGTTTAGATTAAATGACCATATTGATTGATGAACTATCATCTCTTCCAATTAAGAGGTATTGTGCTCAAATAGAATATTTGTCAATTTTGATGATATCCATAGCTTTTCTTCACTTGTTGAATCACAAGCAAAATCTCTTCCACAACCTAACACATGTCCTGGTTTCCATTTCAAGGTCAAAACATCTTTAAAGTATATCAGCTGATTTAATTCTGTAGTCTACAACATCTCTCCACAGCTGTTGTTTCTTTCTCATTAGCATTCAGACAATTCAAACTCAATCCTTTAGAGTTAGATTTGATCTTTATATAACTGCTTGCTCTGCAGGATTGTGTGGTGTACCTGTAATGTCATTTATATTATAGTAAGCAGAATACTGTTTCATTTTCTTAGAAACATATGCTGGAGCATTGTCTGTCTTTATTTGTGCAGGTATATCCACGGTGGCCATAACTTCTAGCACATGTGTAACTACACAATTAGCCTTTTCCAAACTCAAAGTAACTGACCATTGATAACACGAATAGTCATCAATTGAATGTATACATATTTTAATCTTCCAAATTCTACAAAATGGAACACATCCATCTGCCAGATTTCATTCCTTTGAGTACCCTTCATGGACCAATTCTGGCAGCTTTGGGACCCTGGTCTCGGTGGGCTGGCCATAGTGTCTAAACATGCGATCTTGTATCTGCAAAGGTGATTCAGTGTCCCGTGGAAGCATGCAAATATACCCTCTTCCTGATGTTATTAGGACATCTGGACCTTTCCATTTATGAGTGAGGAGATCTTTCCATTTGACTAGGATATGGGAGTGACATTTATGGTAAAATGTCTATGGAAAGCATTCCTATTATCACCAGAGTTATTCATGTGGTTAATTAAAAGCAAGTATTGATTCAAAATTTGATGGGGAGATGAGTATTTAAGGTTTCCATTTCACAATTTGGATATCTGAGTTTTCAATGTATGATGAGCTCTCTCCACAATAGGTTGACCTTTCAGGGTATAAGGAATGCCTGTAGAGTGAGAAATATTAAAGTTTGAGCAAAATTTCTTAAAGACCTTAGAAGTATACACAGGGCCATCTTCTCTTTTCAAGGTTCTAGGCATCCCCAGCACAGAGAAGTAATAAAAAGTGATGTTGTATTATACATCCTTAAATGCCTCTCCAGTGAAGGCATTAGCACAAATAACATGAGCATATGTGCCTCTGTATATGTGAATAAAGGCAAGTATATCAAAGGAAGGAACATGAGAAACATACATTTAACAAAAGTCATAAGGACACAAACCTCAGGATGGAACTCCCATATAAAGAGAGTGTCTTGCTGTGGACGAGCAGAGCAACGATAAACTGAGCCGCATCAGGAGGTAGCTGAAACTGAGGGTAAAGATAAGTTTACATACATCTCTTCAATTGTCTTCTTTCAATTATTTTAGGTATAGATACAGAAGTACAATTGGTAGCTCTCAGGATTACTCAATTTTCAGTTTTTAAAGGAATCTTATTTTTTAAATGTTCACATGATTTCACCTTTCTAACCATAATGCAAAATCCTTTTAGATTTACCACATTCTTACCAAAATTCTTTAAGATGTTTATAACACTAGTCATCCTGATGGAAATTTGTGATGGCAGATGAGTTTCTTTTTGAGATATGGTGTCCCTATATACTTGGCATGGCTCAAAATCCTGATTCTATTGTCTCTAAGTCCTGAAATTATGGTCGTGTACCATTAAACACAACTGGCAATTGATTTTTGATAAAGGCATGAAAGTAATTCACAGAAGAAATGACAATTTTGCCAAAAATACTGTTGAGGCATTAGAGACCCTGCAACAACAACAAATGAACCTCAATGTCTGGTCCTGTGGCTGCAGGCTGGGCAGCATGTCCTGGTCTCTGCTGGCTGGATCTGTCTTTGCAGCAGTGCAGGTAGTATGAGGTACAGCTTGCTCCACCATCACAATGTTTCTAGTTCACAGGACTTGCATTGGTGCCTGGGATTACAAGCATGCACCACCATACCTAACCATCAAGATTTCAGTTTTTATTCCATGTATTATCGAGAAAATTCTACTGTATATATAATGGTCTATAAAGCAAGTTTCAGGACAGCCAGAGTTACAAAATGCCTTCTAATATTTACATCCCATTTTTTAAAGTATTCAAAATCCCTTATAAAGAATGGCTTCACCTTGTTTGGAAAGATGTTTCTACATCCATTTATGGCCATAGTGCAATATTATATGAACAGCATTGTTTTTCTTAAAAGCTACTTAAAATCTCATTCAGAAAGAACATTTTTATTCAGAATTTTTCTGAAATCAGCAAGCAGCGTGAGAATGTTTTTTATAATGTCATGACTGCAAAAATCTGAAATTGTGACCACAAATGATTGCAGCCTCAAGAAGCAGGCATTTCCTGTTTCTATGACTGTTGGGAAATTCAGAAGGTGGGGCAAAAGGCAACACCCTGGGCCCCAGCTCTTATCTTAACTGATATGCCAGATAATAAGGGCTGTTTCCAGGGACAGTTTGATATGGACTGAATTATATTTTGAATTGAATGTTTCCCAGGTGAGTGATCAGTCTCACTATCCAGGTTGGAAATAGACTACCTAGTTAACATTTGTGAATGCTTAGATTGCTTCCCCAGCTAGTCTCCTCTTCCTTCCTAACAGCCTTCTAGTCTGCTCTCCAACCTAATTTCTTCCTGCCCAGCTATAGGACAGTCAGATCTTTCTTAACCAATGAGAGTAATACATATTCACATTATGCAGAAGGATTATTTTACAGCAATCCAGGTCCACATGAATCTAGGTAAGTCATCTACTGCTGGTGTGTGTCTGTGTGTCTGTGTGTGTGTGTGTGTCTCTGTGTGTGTGTGCGTGTGTGTGTTGTTTTGAATGTGGAAAGCGAAAACTTCCTGAGATACTCTCTAAGCCATGCTTCACTACTTCCTGTCTCTCTATCTGTCCTCATTCCTCTAAAATGTCTATGGTTAATTTTGGTCAGGTAGTGGCTAGCTCTGCCCTATGATTCCAATCAAGCTTTATTGTCAGAATATAACCGAATATCATACAACAGTTGGCTGTTGTGGACCATACCTGTACAGCCAGCACTTGGAAGGATGAAGCAAGAGGATTTCCATGAGTTTCAGGGCAAACTGTGACATATAGTGAATTCTATTTCAAAAAGAAAATAAAGCAGGAAAAAGAAAAACAGCACAATGCCAAGGTAAATTATAAATTTAGGAATAAAATAAAGATATCATTTCAATTAGTGACATGTTAGAAGATAATTTTCTAACAAGCTATTTAAATATCTTTAGAAAACTGTTACCTTTTCCTTTATCAATTTATCTTTACCAATATATTGTTCATTAGGCCTTGGTATTTAATATCCATGAAAAGTTTGAAGTTAGGCAGAATTGATGTGCTCGTTGATTGTCTTTTCTGGGGTAAAAACTTAGGTGGTAAATTCTACAGTTTAATTAACTAGGACTGCATCTAACATGGCAGTTATTTCTTAGAGTTCAAATCTTAGGCTGGATATGTAGCTTAGCGGTAGAGCACCTATGCAACATGCAGGTACCTGTGTGTTGAATCTGCATCATCATAGATTCAATTCAATTCAATTATGCAATATGCTATTCTATCATGTTTGTATTAACTTATAATTTTTACCTTCCAAACTTCTTTCTCTCCAAATTTTAAGCCATTTTAATGGGTTCTTTTGTTTTTTGTTTTGTTCATTTTTTGGGTCTCACTATCAAGTTCTGGCTGTCCTGGAACTCACTATGTAGACCAGACTATTCTTAAACTCACAGATATATGCCTGCTTCTGCAGCGCTAGGGCTATAGGCATGAACCACTAAACCTGGCCTAGGTTCCTTCATTAATGAGATAAACTTAGTGTAGGAATATGCTCAGTCTTTTTATGTGCATTTTTCTACCAAGATATAATTATGTTAATGTTAAAGGAAAATCTTATGAAAAATGCACTGAAAATGCCAGCAAAGGGAAGGTGATACTGAGTGCTATAGTTGAAAGATCTGGTGGGGAAGGTACATGAGTCAAGAGTTGATGTAACAGGAGTTGTAGCCAGGGTGTAGAGGAAGAGAGAAGGAGGATTTGAAGTGAAAAAGCATCATAGGGCAAGGAAACAATATGGCATAGTTTCAGAGAGTGTCAAATGAGGCTGAGAATCTGGAAGAAGTCAAATTCTAAGCTGCACAGGTCATAATGATGAGCAGCCCTATGCTGCATGAAAGAATAGATGTGACACAATAAGATACCTTTGTTTTAGGAAGACCTAGTTTGTCTGGAGAGTGCATGCTTATGTGGAAATGAATGTAAAGATAAAGACACTACATAGGTAAGTAATAATGCCATGAATTAAGGCAATGCTGTAGTGAAGATTAGGCACAGAATGATTTGTAATAAATAGGGCACTGTGGTTGCTTGTATATAGTACCATGGGGAAAATGGGATAGGAGGTGAATGAGGTGTATGCAAGATTTGATGAGTAATCATGAGGGGTGGCTAAGGAGGGGTTGACCTACATTAGCACCCATTCCTGCTTTGGGCATAGAGATAGTATCTCTCCTATTGTAAATAATGCAGGGACAACAATTAGCAGCTGCATCTATTTCTAAGATGATAACCTACGATTATAGCAAGGATTTGCTAGCTTTTTACACAGTTTGCACAAGTGGAATATTAACTCTTTGTTTACCCAGGCAATTAAAACTTGTGTCTTTCCTTTCTTTCAAATAGGGTCTCAGTATATGGCCAATGCACCAATGTACAGCTCAACATAACTTCTCTTATGAAATGCTAATTCACTCACTCTGGGAATCTCCCCAGCCCTTTTATGCTATAAATGTAAATAAGTATCTTTCTATAGCTTCATACCTATCCTTAAAAATAAATGCAATCAGCCCGGCTTTAATGACACACGCCTTTAATCCCAGCACTTGGGAGGCACAGGCAAACGGATCTCTGTGAGTTGGAGGCCAGCCTCGTCTCCAGAGCAAGGCCAGGAAGGCTTCAAAGCTACACAGAGAAACCCTGTCTCAAAAACCCATAATAATAGTAGTAGTAGTAGTAGTAGTAGTAGTAGTAGTAGTAATCATAATCATAATAATAAATGTAATCATTGCTTTCCATACCATGTCCTACACATTCTGGAAGATATTAATCAGTGTGGCTTAGGGCTGGTATCATGAACCCCATCTTAGGGAGAGACAGCTGCTGATTTGGCTCTGATTTGTGCACAAATACACCTCGATTTAATGTGGCCACAGTTTGGGTGGCTGGTCTTTCTCCTCATATCTGTGAGATTTAGAATATAATTTAAAAAACTGTCATGTGCCCATACAATAATTTAATTTACAAAGAAATGTGCCTGACTTCTTAACATAAAGTCTCTGGTTATATTTAAGAATTGAGAACAATGTCCCGTGTGGTGGCTGAAACCTACACCCAGCACATGGGGAGAATGAGGTAGGGTCATCATAATATATTTAAGAACTGCTTGGTCTGTATATGTGGGATTTCAAGTGCTTTTTTTGTTTGTTTGTTTGATTGCTTTTCGTGCGTGCATGCGTGTGTGTGTGGGGCGGCGTGGGGGAGCGCACCTGTGTGTGTTTACTGATGATTGAACACAGAGACGACAGAACCTGCAAATGCTCTACCACTGAGCAATATATACTGTGGAATTTTCTGTTAATTAGCACAAGGTTGGAGGCTTTTGAATTCCTCCTTATTGCATACCTCTTTCCCATTTCAGGATTCCAGATCCAAGGTTTGTGTATCCGGTTGTGCAGTTTTATAATTATTATCGATTATCATTTCATGCTAGAGGGAAACAACTCACTTCCTAAGGTGCCTGAGGACCCAAGCAAGATCCCTAAAACCCACATAATAAGAAAGGCGTGCACTTGGAATCCTAGTCCTGGATAGAAGGAAACAGGCGATCTCTCACGTTCACTGTCCAGTCTAGCCAAATCAGGAGTCTTGGGTCTTTTCAGTCTCGGGAAAAGCAACAGGCCTGCAGTCCCTAAGAGATGACGTATTTTCGATGCGCTACGCAGACGGGGCGGAGCTTGGTTGCGCTACTTGGGAGGGGTGGGCGTTCTAGGCGGGAGCCGCCTTAGCTTAGTGCTTTGGGCGGTCGCAGTCCCCAGACTGATCCGGAGCTGCCGGTGTCGGGGATCTGTGTTCACGGACCACGATCGCATAGTTACGGGTCCTGTTCGCTTCCTGCACAGCTGCAGGCTCGGCGTGGCCACTGGCGCCGCCGCCTGAGTGTCAGGCCGCCGCGGACCGCGGAGCCCAAGAAGACGCGGGCGCCGCC